TTTTTTCAGGCATTTTAAATTTTCTTATTCTGATGTCAAACTCATTATGATCAGCCACCTAAAAATCCTGGAATTCATATGCATTTTTAACGATGTTTTAAAATTAAAATCAGCCATGTTAGATGCGTCAATTTGAATTATTTATTTTTTATGTCAAAATCAAGATTAGAAACTCGACAGAACTCTCTAAAAACTCAAGCGTTTTAAACAATGTTTTAAAATTCATATTTGCCATATTAGATCTCCCATTTCGAAATTTTTAATTCTAACGTTAAAATCGTGTTAGCGACTCGAAAAACTTATTATGGTAAATGTCCTAGCAACTGGACATGTACCTATTTTCAAACACTAACACAAAATTTATTATTATATTAAAATTTTATAAATACCATATCGTAATTTAATTGTAATTGCTAAACATAATTAAACTTCAATATTTTAATAACAAGAACATTTGATAGATTAATAATAATGAATTTTGTATAAGTGTGCGGACATGTGTACATTTTACATAGTATATACCTTAATATAGCTTTTTTGTAATAATATAGTATTCCTTTAGCCAGTCAACAGATCTGTAGATATGTAGCAATTGATTTGTAATCAATAATATTATGTGTTCAATGCAGTTTATGCGCAATAGTGTCATGTGAGTACATGTGCTTTTTTCTTAATTTTATATTTGCAATATAAGCGTGTAGATAATCGAGCTGTAGGCAAACGGTGCTCTAAGGCAATCAATTTCTAAGCAAAGGGAATTTTTTTCTTCCAAAGACAAAATTATGTAAATATAGAAGATATGAATAAACATAACTGTAGCGTAGTTGTTAAGTTTTCATATTATGTAACTTGTTTGTACAATATCAAAGTTGATTTTTATTAAACATTAAGCAATAGTCTTTTATGTTTATTAACCATGACGTGTACAAAACAGACATATTCACATTCTGCGCGTGACGAGCAACACTTGAAGAAATTGGCGAGACAAAGCCTCGAGATGACAAATGAAACTCGAATTTATCGAAGAAAGCAACAATTGGATAAAAATCAATTCTTTGAACAAGAAGAAGGATTATTATATGGCCCTGATATAGCTGATTAGCAAAAAAATACTGTAAATGTTCGATTTGCATTTGTAAACTACATTTGAATTTTTACATGCATTTTTCTTGTAACACCTTTTTTGCGACTAATTGGCATGATATCTACAAAACTAATAGACTGATCATCTTCCGCTTTGAACAGCATGTTGAGGAAATATCCCTTTATCGTTCGATGAAAAAGGAAAACAATCTGTTATACACATTCAATATTTTACGGAGTAATTTTCGCATTGTTTGTTTTAGAAAAAAATTAAGTTTGAGGAAATGTAAAAAAATTGCTAATTATATATAAAATTATCAGACTTGGGAAGTTAATGTTTTTTTAAACTAAATTAAGTCAAAGTTAATGGCTTATAAAATTAATAAAATTAAGTTGAAAATTGAAGGAAAGAATTAACTTAATAAAAGTTAAGTTAAGATTAAATTAAACTTAAGTTTAAAAAAAAGTTTATTTTGAAAAAAATTATTTTTGAGATTAGAATGTCATAATTTTTTTTTTAACTGAGATTACTTTAAATAACCCTTACAAATATAGATTATTAGGCAAATTTAATTTTATATCCATGTGAATTATTTATATATATAATAAGAGTCACACCATAAGGTGTTTTTGTTAAAATCTTTCGAAAAAGAAGAAGTATATGTTTGCATTATTTCTCTTTTTTTAATTTTTTAACTAACTTTCTTTAAAAAAAAAATCTCGTTACAAGAAGAGATAAAAATAAATCCAAAAATGCAAAGATAAAACAGAGCAAAACGGATCAAAGGTAAAATGAATTATATAAAATTCGTGTAATGTAATGCAATTAAGTATACGACTTGATCGATTCAATTAATCGGTGAAGAACGTGGCATGGAGTTTCACCGAACGGAATTTCCGTGCAAGGAATTCTTTGACGGCAGGTTGGCGTGTTATACGCCGCCCTCCCACCGCCAATTACACCGTGACTAATGCCCCATGGCCGCGGGCACTTCTCTCCCTTTCGAAATTCATCAAAATAAAATCAGTAGACCACCGAGGAGATAATTCATCGGCCGCGTGAGTCTCTTTCAAACCAGCTAGACTGGAATTTTTACAGCGCCGAATGCGCGGCATAAGGGTGGCACAAAAATTAGGACCCGCACTTGTGAGTAAAATGCGTGACTTATGTGTCCGTGAAATGCGTGATGTGGGTTTGGACAATTTGTGAAATTAATTATGTGTCTGCTTACATTTCACTTATATTGTTTTCACTTAGCTCTCGCTCGCACGAATCTTCTATGACAACAAGAAATAGAAATAATGGAAATTCTTAAGCAAATTTCAATTTTTAACATATGTGAGTGTATAAAGTTGTAAAAGTTATATTTTACTTTAATTATCTAAATTATTTCAATTTAAATCATCATGAAATGAATGTTCTTTATTTTTAAATATAAAACTACAAATTAATTAATAGAAGAAGAAGAAAGTCAATTTAAATAGAGAAGTTGTCAGAAAGAAAATCTTTTAAAATAAATGAGAGAATTTTATTCTAAGATTCAATTTATAAGAATATATTTCTTAATATATCTATATTATAAAAAAAGTGATGTGTTACATTCTTATTTCCTTTTTTTTTTCATGTCATGTGCAAAAATTACAAACTCACATACGCATTTAATTTGAAATCAATACGTGATTAAAAATAATAGCTCACATATATACAATATTTACATTACACATTCTTGGATTATTCTGGCTAAGTTTTGTTAGAGCGAAATTGTCCGATGCGATAACAAGCAAACGATCAGTCTTCAAGCAAGCATCATGGTCATAATTTTTCCGTCCATTTGTTTCATCGAGAGGTATTCGTTGTCGTTAAACTCAAACCGACGATTACCCGAGCTTAAATTAATTGCCAATTAGGAAATCCCTCGGATCCCTTTGATACATGAACCAAGTATCCGTGGCCGAGGTTCGATGTCGACGATAAAACAAAGGTTCGATGTTCCTATCAAAGGTGTTTACGGCTTATGAAATCATAGTGGAAATAACGTAACATCGCAATGAAACATAAGAAGGATATTATTTAAGGGTAAAACAACAGTCAAGAACAATCTCCTTATATCAATTAATTAATTAAATTGATGTGATAATACTAAGTTTTAATTTTACCATATCAGATTACGTTTCTTCCTGATACTTGATTCATTCTAAATGATTCCTTTTTCAATTATTTTACTGTAAATTTCAAGTTTTTTATTCGACTCTTCCAGTCTCGACTTTTATACTTTCAGAATAGCTCATGTTGCAATTTCCAACTCTGGCACACGCCGGTATAATATACAAATTAGTATACATGACAATAACAAGACGTAAGACAATCAAAAAACTGTCACGTCGCGATGCGTGTTGTAACTTGTAACCGTTGCGACTAATAAAATAATAATGACATTGCATTGCTTGTTTTTCACGGGTCGCGGGGATGCGAGAGGTACGCATAATAACTTTCTTGCTAATTATGAAATAGTGATACGAGTGTACACGGCGCACAAACATCGTAACACTCCGAAAAACACGAAGCCAATTATGCGCCGGTCCAGTGAGAAAGGACGGTCCTCTCGTAAAGCACTCGCACCTTGCGGCGTGTGCGTCGGGCAACAATGAACAAAAATCGACATTCTCGACACACGGGCCTCGGCCTTCTATGCGAAATTATGCAAGAGTTGATGTAATCGGGTAAGTTGAGTTACGGAACGACGTGCATTTAAAAACAGCAGCGACCGTTATAATTACGGCGCAAAAATATGAATTCAAATGTGAAAAATATATTTTCCGAATAAAGTATGCATGCATTATGACCATGTACCAAATTACAACATATTTGCTTCAGTATCAGTAACGAAATATTTTGTTATTCTTAAGTAGGGAAAGATAATGTACCTTTGACCAATATCGACATTCTTGTGCAAATTGTGTATTGTAATGTCTAAAAATTCAAAAATATTCTAAAATATTTTTTGAAGTCTTGACACTAACAGATATTTTTTTACATTTATAAATTATTATCTTTTGTAAATCTTTTTTAACATTAAAAAAAAATTGAATTTGGTCATAAGTACAACGCTCATGTTGTACCTCTAACCAGGGAGTGTTGCATTTTTAATTAATGTATAATTTTTTGTATAAAGATAAGATATTTAACAATAGTTTAATTTTTTATTTATATTTTTATATTTTTAATGTCTTTTTACATCATATATAACTTTATATATAAAATATATAAAAATAAACTTTACTATACAAAAACGCGATTTTCGTTTTTGCACAAAATTGATTGAATGATGAATCTGACAAAAATAATTTCCTTTGTTCATTTTCAATATCGCATCTAATAAGTATAATTTTATTAATATTGGAGGTAAAACAGCTAAATGATTATCTGATATTGATTGGTCAAAGATATCATACTATCAGTTACTGGTTAAAGATACAACGCTTGCTTACTTTCTATTTGTTATTACTTTTATCAATTATAGGTTAAGATTGACAATATTAAGTTTTAAATAATTTTTTCTGAATATCTATTTAACATTTTAGGCAATTTCAACATAAGACGGAACATATGTAGAACATTTTATGAGATTAAAAAACGTTTAGAAATTATTTCATTCGAACACTTGAAAACAATAAATAATTTTTCATAGGAGTATAATTCTCTTCATTATTATAATTATAAGATATAAAACACTTCTAATACTCTTCTCTCTCTCTCTCTCTCTCTCTCTCTCTCTCTCTCTCTCTCTCTGAATTCAAATTTTTGAAAAGGTATAACAATTAAAAGAACACCATGTTCCTCTATAATAATAAATTCCCTCCCCCCTTCAGAGAAATATGTACTTCTTTCTTTCTTTTATTGTTTATGTGATAAGTTC